AAATTAGGTATACAATACTTTAGTATTAGTATTAGTATTAAATATTTAAATTTATTGTGTGAGAAATRAAAACAGTCAAAAATCAAAGTAATGTATTAATAAGTGTCCTATTGACTTGAATAAACATCGGTTACCTCTACCAGCATAATATTAATAAACGATTTCAAATTAGTACATACGTTGATTGTTAATGTTTTTACTTTGTGAAACTTAGTTAACCATTAAAAAAATTCAAGATATAAGTCTAACTCTTAATCTTGGAATTTCAATAATATATTATGTAAACGAAAATGTTACAAGAAATTGTAATTAATATTTAATTGATTAATAATACTTAATAATCAATCATCACATGCTTAATATTATAATTGTATGGGTTAGTTTAGAATAATTATTCAAAAGCTAACCCATCCAAATTATGTTATTATTTGTTTGCATAAATAAAAATTAATATTACAAGGTATAGTCAATACAYTGTATTTTTTTATACAAACATTAATAAACTGTCCAACATTTTATGATTCTAGAGGATTCAACTATTTAATTAATTCGACTACATTTGTGTGTACAAAAATTACACTTATTAAAAATATAATTAAAAGAAATTAAATTAMGATTGAAACATTATCAACATTTAAAGCAGTCYTACCTTTTGTAAAGCCAAGTGACACTGTATAGTATAGATTTTTAAATCTCAGCTCGACTTGATCTTGTTTCCTGTCTTTGATGAACAGCCCCTTTGGCTCACATAGCCCTTTTGAATCATCCTTCGACTCCATAGACTCACAGCTAAAACATTTAAGTACCTATGCACATAAATAATGGAATAACACACACGAATTCACAAAAAAAAAAAAAAACAACTAAAAATACACAATTATATTGTCTTAAATCTTTAAAGTTCTTTAATCAGTTTTAAATGTGTTGATAACGAACCTAAGGTCGTCAAGGTATAAACATACACAATGGACGGATATGTACTAATATACAAGTTGAGATTTCATATACGACGTCCCCCACTTGGCCGACAAAATATTCGGTACTGACAGCTGTTGGCGCGATAAAAGGGTTTGAGATTCCTTTGAAATAACCTGGGCATGGACAATGAAATGCTTATCGCGGACCTGTTTAAGGACACTAAATGCAGTTGGTTTTTGTTGAACCGTTTTTTTTTTTAATCTGTACAGAGTGTTTAAAATAAACATGACGAATACGATTTGTCATATTTATTTTTCAATAATAAATATACCCAATTTTCGATACTAACTGCTTATTTAAAATTATATAATTATGTTTCCGTAGTGCGTTTTATTTGAATGACAATTTTAACAGAAAATTATAAATTACACAACTCAAAATCATTTACTATCTGCTTAAACTTACACTAACAAAATAAAACTAAATATTAAATTACAAGTTTTTTTTTTTATTAAAGAAATAACCCTCGGCATTTGGCCATTGGGACAAGATACATTTTTTTTTTTTTTTGAAAGGTAATTACAAATTTAATTTTGATTTCAATGTATATACCGCGAATGATAAAATAGTAATATATTATTATGTACATTTATAGAATATAATATGTAAAATATAATCTTCTTCAATTTAATTAAATTTAATGTTTTTACGACTAAAACTAGACTACWGCATATTATAGACGATTTAAAAAAATTTCCTTGCACATATCATTTTAATGCTTGGTTGAAAAAATAAAATAAGTAATAACTAGTTACTATACTTACCTATAATTAAATACTTATCATTGTACCCAACCACACCCTTTTATGTGAGTCGTAATCATCAATAGAATATTAAAGGATTTAAGTTTTAACTTAATTTACCTGAATTACATAATAAAGATATTTCCTTATTACTTCATCAATCTTAATTTTAATTAAAAAAATATTTTATGTTTTAATTGAATAATTTAATTACTGCTATTTAATACTGCTAAGTTAAAACAAAATAAGGAACAAGTAGGTACCTAATTACGTTACTGTATACTGTATAGTAGGAGTCAAGTGTACCTCGTAATAACTGAATAAGTCACTGGAATGGATGTATTAAATTTGAATTCAATGATAAATCATTACATACAAAAAACGATTCTGGATAGAGTTGGTATGTCAGCCTATTATCACATTAATTTTCTATTAATTATTGTTGTAATTTATTTCACTATTTAAATTAATATGGTATGAGTTAAAAATAGGAAATAGCATAAACTACAAAAATTGAACTAAAGGTTTTGAGAATGTCATAATATATACCTATATAAATATATAATTAGCAAAAGTTTTAAATATCAACGAAACATTTTTGAATACAAAAAAATTAACCATGATTTATAAAAAAATAATACACATCCATTTTTAATATGTTTGAATATAGCTATAACAAAAAGGAACTTTTATAAAATTTTCAAGCTTAATGATCAAACAAAAATATTTTTATCGACATATATATTTTTAAAAAAAACATCAAATGTTTACAAATAATTTAAATATCATACAAATATTTTGAAAATACAAAAATTCTAATATAAACATTTAGGAAAAATTTCAAGTATATAAATAAGGTTGTTCATTACGTGTCA